ACTCGTGCCAAAGGAAGGGGGTGTGCTGCCTTTTTACTGCCAGGTTACCCAACACTCCACTGACATCCTCAGGGGAGGATCTGTGGTTACTGCTGGGTGGGGATGGGAGTTCTGAGTATCCACTGACACTACCACGAGGGTGGCTATGTTACCACTGGACAATGGTGAGTCCTGACTCTCTACTTCCTCTGGGGGAAAGTGGGAGAGGCACCTCAGTTTTGGTGGATAGGGGAGTGGAAGTCTGGTCTGGTCTCCCAGATGGTCTTCCCTGGGGGTAGGGAAGCTGTTGGTACTGGCCAGTTGGGATGAAATTTCTGGCTCCCTACTTGACCTTCTTTGACACTATCCTGGTGGGGGTGTTGGGAGACCTCATTACAGCTTTGCAAGGATGAAAGTTTAGGTTTCCCATTGGCCTTTTCTGGTGTGGGTAGAGGTGGTGACCAGTCTTTTCTCTAATGTGTGGCTAGAGTAGAATGCTTCTTGTCTGGAAGTTTTCTGTTTTGCCAGGCTGCCCCTTTGCTGGCCTTTGGCTAGACAAGTAGGCTTTTGTTCATCTGGGCTAGTGATTTCTGATTGCCAGGTTCTTTAACTCCATGTTTGAGATATATAAGGGAAAAAACAAAACCAAAATCCACCCAGAGAACTCACTCCTATGTCACTCCTTGGGCCTTCAGGTTGTCAGTCTGTCTACTTTCCTTCCAGTCTAATGTTTGCTTTCTACGTAACGTGCAGGTTTTCTAGAAGTACATAGTGGAAGGAACAGGAAAAAATACATCTTATTTTCCCAGAAGCCTTGATTCTTGATTTTAGTAGCTGTCAGAGCTGGAAGAAAGCTAGTTTACAAAGTGATTCAAATCTAAGAAGAGCATCCCCATTTCCACTTATTAATGACACTTATTTTTAAATCCCAGCTATAAATTATGCAAGTTTTTGTTGAAATTCTAATAAAGTCCTACATTCCATGTTGATGCTTGCAGCTAAAAGATGTTGTATGTTTGAATTTTTAACAGATGGGTTCAAAATACACAAAACTATCCAACTGGAGCTTTTCATTTCACAGTCTACCAGTCAGGGTTTAACTAGAGAAGCAGAACCCATAGGACATATATATTAAGAAATGTATTACAATTAATTAGCTTATATGATTGTAGGGGCTGGCTAGAAAAGTCCTACTTCACCATCATGCAACAATCCTGCATACAAGCTGCAAAAAGGACAAGGAGGCCACATGTTCTGACCTCCTCTAATCCCACAAGAGGAAGACAGGATTACCAGCAGTAACCCAAGGCCTATTCCTACAAGGCCAGACATGCTGCCTCCCTCCAGCCCTTTCACCAACCGTTCCTCCCAAAGC